TAAAATTAAAATTTCATCTTGTGGAAGGAGATATACTGATGTATACGTAAGCTTCCGCGGCTAATCAGGGAGACCTCTCCGCCAATGACAGCGCACGTGCCCCTCCCGAGAGCCCAGGCAGGATAGTATAAATCACCGGGCGCGTAGCGCCGCAATGTTACTGCCCTGAGGAAGCCTGCGACATGCCAGGCGAAACGTCGTCTCCCCAGCCAACGACGCGGCGTCTCCCGGATAGCCGAGAATTTAGAGATATACTGAGGTCGGTAGTAATTGTTGGTACGACCTGCATTAATAGAATACTTGAGTTTTAGTAAGAAACTCATCACAGGTTTTTTTACTGGTCTACTGGCCTTCAATAGCAAAAATGCTGCTGAGGACAACCACGGAAATGGTTTTCAAAAACGTACCATGTACACTAACCAAGAACAACAAAAATCTCTTGTACAGCACAACAGTTAATTGTGTTCAAATAATGCTTATTACCTGCGCTCGAATTCTCATAACATGTCATCTTTACATTGGCGCATTCTAGACGTAGCTAACAAATAAATTAATGTTCAACATGTCATACAGGTGATAGAATTGTACGGTTACTGAGTCATTTGTTGCCTTTTTTGCCATATTTCAATTTTTATGTCATTTTTGTCTTACTTTATATAAATAAATTTATTCAAAATTGCAAAATTCACTGAATAAATAAACATTTTCATACGAATTTTTGTTCATTTTTAAAAAAATAATGTCATTTTCTCATTATTTTTTAATCATTTTATGGATAGTAAATGAAAATAGTACAACTATTTTACACTAAAAATATTCTTCATACCCTTTCGTGTTAATTAATTATGTCAACAGTTATACATCTGAAACAATATTATGATGATACGTAACGTGTAGAAAACAAATTCCAATTTTTGGTTGTAATAAGTAAAATTGTACTATAACTCTTCGAATAAAAACACACCACTAATTTTGCGCTTACATTAACGAGTAATGGTAACCGAAGTGCAAGGCAACCGCAACCTCAAAATCTCATTAGCAGAGTTGGTGCAACGCAGAAAGCCCAAGAATCTAAAATTATCGGAAATGGTTGTTGCCATATACAGACTCGTGACCGTTGATAAAAGCTTATTTCACTGCTGCGCTCCGGGTCCAGACAAGCAAATTTTCGTAGGGGAAAAAAGAGGCAAATAAATCTGCGTGGTGCATCGCGCTCTTCAGCCATGAACTCCGTGCGCTGGATTCTGCTGCTGTTGATGGCGCTGGTGATCGCGATGGTGCCGGTCACCGCGCGGGTGCCGGTAGTTTCCTGGAGACGCCGCATGGCGCGCGACTACCGAAGAGACATTATAGGTGCAGCGGGTGAAAATTGTCACGGAGGTTGGATTTGGAAGAATGGCCGCTGTCGCAAACAGGAGTAGCAGCAGGTGAGATGCTAGGTTGTTTAAATATGCCTTTTAGACTGCTACTAGAAAAAGCTGATGCTTTTAAGACATGCACAACGAGCTTAAAGTTCAATTTCTAACACTAGTGCTGAAAGTGAGGGGATGCTCAAATATTCAGATTAAACAGAGTGACTAATATTTAGAACAACTCAAATATTTGCATTTTCAGGCCAAATCGAAACCTTCTCATTGTTTTTGGACGTTTTCGTGTTTCCTGGGGTTTTAACCACCGAAACCTCTTAAAAGGCCGGAGGCTTTCTTTCATTTCTGCGCACATTCAATGATTCTCTCCGCGAATGATTAGGACACACGTGTTCTAAAAATGCTTATTACCCGGGCTCGAATTCCCATGACATGTCATCTTTACATTGATGTATTCTAGACGTAGCTAACATAAATTAATGTTTATCACGACATATATGTGGTATAATTTTATGGTTACTGAGTAAATTTTTGTCTTTTTTGTCATATTTCAATTTTTATGTCATTTTTTAACTTTTCCGTGATTTTTGTCATATTTACTCATTTTGTTTTCTTTCTGTGCGTTTTGTTAGTGAGCATTTCATGAATTTGCAATGACACGCTAAAAAATGGTTTTATTGTATCATCAGTTTATTATTAAATTCATTATTGCAGTGGACTATGTTTTTCGAACTCTCAAAATTACTCGGATCTTCGGTAACTTACTCGACTTTTCAAACTTGACGGTTGGAAGATCGGAGTTAAGGATTACAATTCCACTTAAAATAAAGACTATATATTGAATATAATTTTATATAAGTAAATTTTGTTCAAAATTGTAAAATTCATTAAATAAATGAACATTTTCATACGCATTTCTGTTCACTTTTTTAAAAAATTAGGTCATTTTCCTATTATTTTTAAATCATTTTATGGGTAGTTACCCTTTAATTTTTAGGTAATCAGAAACCGAGTCTTGCTTATTTCTTAACTAATCGTTTTGTAGTTTAACTTCAGCTAATTAAAATGAATAAATGAATGTAGTACAACTAGTTTACACTAAAAATATTCATTCTTTTTCGTGTTTAATAAATTATGTCAACAGTTATGAATCTGAAACAATATAATTACAGATGATACCAGATGTAAAGTGTAGAAAACAAATTGCAATTTTTGGTTGAAATAAGTAACAGTGTACTTTAATTCACCACTAAATTTGCGCTTACATTAACCAGTAATGATAACCGAAGTCCGCAAGGC